TAATTCTTAAATGTAGCTACATGCAAACATTTACCAAGAACCATCAGGTGATGCAGTACCGGTCAAACCAGTTACAGAATTTGCCAGCTGCATAGTTGGAGAACCTAATTATGAATTACAACTGTCCAAGTATTCCAAAAAAACAAAAACTATCTTTCTTGTTGTTGCCCCCAGATTTCTATCAAACAAAAGACGTTATTTGGTAAAAATAAAACCAGAATTTTCCCACGAATCTGAAAATACACGACACACGGGAAAAAGGATGATGGCGTAGAAATCAAAAGAGGAAGCCATTTTAGTAGCAAAGACTTACCGTAGAAACTTTACTGCTATTTGTTGATTGGTCATTTGTTACACCATCAATAACCAGATCTGATAGACCACCAGCTAATGTACTCTGTAAAATCGGCTTTAATAAATCAACCAAATGATCGAAAAAAACAGACTTCATTTTTTTAAACTTCATGCATAGAGTCCGGTCCGGGTTTACAGCTAAGGGATAAAACACAGACTGCATCGTAAAATGTCTTTTTATACATGATACCTATGTCGAACCTTTCTACGCTACTATTCATCCCATCGTCAGAAGGATGACCAACACCTTTGCATGTCATTATAAGCTGCAGCTCTCGCTGACTATGCTGTGAAATCCCGCAAAACCGCCATAAAGAAGAAAATGAATACGGCCCACACGACACAGCTAAAAACCGGGATGCATATCCTATTTTGAAAGGCAGATACACAGTAAGGCAGAAAGGCATGTGCTGCCAGGCTGGCCATGAAGCACAGCGGCTGGTGGTGTAGTGGCTAGCACGCCGCGCTCGAATGTGGAGGGTGTGGTTCGATCCCCTGCCGGTCCACAACTTTTTTTTCTGGAAAGGGCTTCATGTTATAGCAAGCAAAATAACCTTATTGTGGTTGGTTGCTTGACCCAGAACATTTGCAAACTCGCCAATGCTGCGTTGCTCTTCTTGACTAGCGCTTAGCTGCAGTAGTCGTTGACGCTGATCCTTCTCAATCTGTAAAACTCAGTAAAAAGGGAAGCAGTAAAAAAATTGATTTCTGAACTCATCTTACTTCAATCACTAGCAAAGTTGAATGCAAATGACCGTGATCTGTGT